AGGAAAGCTGAGCCAGTGTGGGAAGGGAGGAAACTGCAGATGGGCAAGAGAGGTCTTTCAGAGGCTGGGGCATGTCCTAAAATTAAAGGTAATAAATTCACTAAAATTACCATAGATATAAAAAAAAAATCTTAGCTGGGCAGTGGTGGCGAATGCCTTTAACCCAGCACTCAGGAGGCAGAGGCAGGCGGATCTGAGTTCAAGGCCAACCTGGTCTACAGAGTGAGTACCAGGGCAGCCAGGGATACGGAGAGAAACCCTGTCTTGAAAAACAAACAACAAAATCTCAGAATTAGCTGAGAATACAATTCAGTGGTAGAGAGTACTTGCCTGGCTCTGGGTCCACTCCCTAATACCACAAAAACAAAACAAGTCAGACATGGACATTTAAAACCTTTCACTCTGCAAAGTGTCCCTCCACGGGGCAGTTACTGCTCTGTCTCTGGAAGGAGGGCAGTGCTGAGAGGCCAGTGGAGGAAGTTCTCAGGTGTCTGTACTTCCCAGACGAGTTGTACAGCCTTCAGCCATCACACTCTTCTCCATCCAGGGATGTAGCCAACTTCTAAGCAAGAGACGCCACTGTGAGCTCTGCTCGACCTCACCTCTAGATACTACGGCCCCAGCTCTGTCCAGGTCCCTGGTCTCAGGGGTGTCCTGGACACCCGGGGAAAGAGAACTGCTCCTGATTCCATGGGACCAGGCTCTGGAGACAAGAGGCCAACTCTAGGAGTCAGTTTGAGTTCACAGGAAGCCACGAAGTGATCTCCAGCAGACCCCAATTAGCGCCCGCCCCTTTGTTCCCAGGTTTAAGGAATACTGGCCGTTAGCTTTGCTGATTCAGGGCTCACCCAGGCAAAGAGCCCAGTAGTTCAAGAGCTGCCAGGTGTCTTCACCCTGAATTGAGAAACATGACTGCTGCTGCTGCTGCTGCTTGGTGGTGGTGGTGGGGCAATCTCAACCGCTTTGCTCTTACCTCAGTCAGAGCCAGGAGGGGCAGGAGGAGTCAGATGTCCCCAGGCAGCCTAAAAGAAGCTGGCCCTTGGGAGCCCTGTTCTGTCCCATGAGGCTGAAGCCACACAGGGGCTAGAGTCTTGAGAGGGTCTTCTGCACATCTGGTCAAAATGCCCCTGAATGCCGGAGTTGGGGAACAGGAAAAGCTCCAGCCACTTCAAGAGCAGGCAGTGAGACCCCAGGGTCTGCTCACCCCGAACTCTCAACCTCACTCCTAAGGGACCTGATTTAAAAATCATGGTTTGGATGCTATTTATGTGTTACATGTTGGAGGTTTGGACCGGGGTGCAGAGGTGGTATGGAACACTGGAAGGTCCTTGGGGGAGCAGAGGGTATGCTCTTTGACTTCCTGTTTAGCTGTTTCTTCTTCTCTCATATTCCCACCATGAGCCTTACCCTCACGTGTTTGGATTCTCTCCATCTAAAATTACAAGTTTAAACAACAACAACAACAAACCAAAAAACCCAACAACCTTTTCTTTGGGCTGGAGAGCGGACTTAGGGGTTAGAACTACTTTATTGCTCTTGCCAGGGATCTAGGTTCAATTCCTGGCACCCACCCAATGGCTCACAATCACCCATAAACTCCTCTTCCAAGGGATCCAATGCTCTCTTTCTGACTTTCATAGACACCAGACATGTACATGTACACATACATACATGCAGGCAAAACACACACACACACACACAAAATAAGTCTAAAAACAAAGTAAAACCAAAATAAACAAATTTTAAAACCAAGATAAACGAAAAAATTTCTTTGTAAAGTTAGAGTGCCTCATGTATCTTATTACAGTTAAAAAAAAAAAAAAAAAGACTAACCGGCTTTCTATGATCCCATCATTTAAAGATGGAGAAACTGAGGCACTGAGAACAGTAGGGTCTTCCTGACAAGGACATCGCTGCTCAGAACAGAGAAGGATTAGATCTATTTCCTCGTGCTCACAAGCCAGGTCTGGGCCTACCCTATCCTCCCAGGTACTCTCCCCAAAGCTGTGGAGTCAGAAACACTAAGGGACTCCCTGAAAGCACAGACTACTTCCCCTTTAAGTCAGGCCTGACTGGGGTGCTCCCGCAGATGACACTTGGCTGCATTTGGCTAACACAGTCTAGCCCTGCAAGGTGAGGGCTGAGAACTTTCACTACTAAACTCAGCAACCCGGCCACTTCTGACAAGGCCTTTGGAGTTTCCTTTTGTTAAAGCTTGGATGAGTTGGACCCCTGCCACAGCGGCATCGGCACGTGGAAGATGACCCCAGCGAGTCCGGCCACTGTGGGTGCTGCCTCAACAGAAAGGCCTCTGTGATGTTCCACCCACCCCACTCCCCACACAGAGGCCAGTGTGCTGACTTTCTGGGGCCTGATGAGGCCTACTGCACACAGGGCTGATGAGACAATACTGTCCACTCAGGACCGCTTGCCATTCTGAAATCAGCAACCTGGACCCTAACTGATAGGATGTCCAGCCTCAGTGGGTGGCCAGTGAAGACTGGACCAAAGTGTTCTTTCTCTACCACATCCCAAATTGTCCCAGAAAATGGGACATATCGATTGGGTGGTCAGTTCGTCTATCTGCTCCTGACTGGGTCAGAACTTCAGTACTGAACCTGCCTTCACTTGATGGAACTCACTCACTGCAGTGAGCCTCCAAATAAACATTCAGGAGCCAGAACACACTCACATCTCAAGCCTTCCTGGAATATTTTCTGTACACAATCATCCTCTTTGCACACACATTTCAAAATCATTCTTGTGACAGGGCTTGAGGAGCAATGTTACTTCCTGCTGAAAAAACATTTTCCCAAGTAGTACTTTTCTGCACCTAAAATATACCCAAACATGCAAACACACACCACACACACACACACACACACACACACACACACACACATCGTATTTTACATAGCCACCTCTGTCATTTTGCACATGGATATTTTCAGAGTCCAGGGAATTCCTAAGGCTACAATGTAAACATTGGTGTAACTCTGTAGCCACCTGCAACACTTTCCCCTGGAGACCACCCCTGCTTTGGAAGTAAGCCCTCTTACAGCTGAAAATGTTACTTAATTTCTCTCCAAGCTATACCTGGCTTTCCTCTGCCCCTTCATTCATCCTCCAGCCTGCTATCCGCCCTACGCCTAAGAGAACTTTCTGAGAAGCCAGCCCCACGCCAGGCTGTACTAGGTAGCCACTGACTACCAGTTTGGGCCAATGACGTAACACACTCCTTTTCAACGTCTTCATGTGTAAACTGATCATCAGGAAGGAATCAAGGATGCTGTGTTACTCCAGGAATTCCCACCTAGCTGCTCCCTGATCTTGGCAAGGTCTGCATGCTTATCAGTTTTGTAGAATGTGCAGCTGCAGAGGTAGCAGTTAGTTAACCGCTCCTCTCTGACTAGACTTCAGACCTGAAGGGAATCGTAGGGGCCAGTAGAGAACAAGCAATATAGGACACGAAGACCTACTCTGTGCTAAGCTAAGGAGAAGACCGTGTTGAAAGGAAGTCAGGTCTCTACTTGGGCAGGGAACACCCTACACCACAGTCAGCGATCTAAACCCAAGAGAGATAACAGGTCCAAAGTATGAATGGGAAGTTCAGTGGCAAAGGGCTCCCAGCCCAAACCTTCTGAGAACACCCCGTCTCAAAAGCACGAAGGGTAAGTAGGAACCCGCGCTAAAAGGCCAGAGAGACTAACTCTAATAATATATCCTGTATGGAACTGGCCAGAATCCAGAATTCTGGTCTTTGTTCTAAACTCACAGCTTAGCTGGGTTTCTGAACACTCCCAACCCAGTTCCCCCAAACCATTCCGCGAAGCCCACACCTCCCTATCTCAGTGGTCTCACACCAGGTCCGACGGAGACCTCAGAATTTCTTGAAACCACCCAGTGTGGAAACACCGTTACCCCAGAACTTCCCTTTCCGTGTGGGCCCCGCGCCTTCATTCTCCAAGCTTGGCAAACCTCCTTCCCCCGGCCTCGCACTGCAACCTCCTGGCTCGGGTCTGATCTTAGTCTCCCTTTTCCTTCTCATGCCCAGGGTGTTGTGAACACGAGTCACCTCCCCGCCCCCACCCTGAAGTCCTCAGCGGCGCCGGGATCCAAAGCAGGACCCCAACCCACAGATGGCAGGGTTAGGAATAAGTGTCGAGGAGGAGAGCATGGTTAGAGATGCGGGGAAGGGTGGGCCCCGAGTCTCCTGCAAAATGGTGGGCTCTACACACATTCTCCGCTTACAGTGCAAGGGCTGAAATGCCAGCTTTCGCTGTGACCTTGAACAACTGATATAAATCCGGAACCTCAGTTTCCCCCTCTGCAAGTCAGTGGAGCCAACAGGTTGGTGGAGAGGGATGGGGCCCCCACGTGCGCCAGGCTCTCCCGCCAGCAGTCATGGTGGCCTCCGGGTGCAGCCGCGGAGCTCGGAGGCGCGCTGGGGTGCAGGGGGAGCCGGGAACCCGGGCCGGCTGGAGGCGCTCGCGAGGCCGAGGCCCACGCGGCGGAACCCGGCCGCTCCGGTGCAGCGGAAGACTCCGCCATCTGACCGCGCCCCCGCCGCCGCCCTCGTGGCGACATCGTGCAGCGCGACACGGAGTCAGCGAGACCGTGGGACCCGGCTCCCCGCCCCGCCAGATCCGTGCGCTCACCCGGAGCCTGCCGCGGTGGTGGCCTGGATGGAGCTGATGCGCAGGCGATTGGCCGTGTCCTTCAAGGCCTGCAGCTTCTGCTGATCTGGCTTGTGGTAACCTTCCATGGCGCGATCGGGCGAGGACGAGGACGCTGGGGATAGAGACGCAGAGCCGGTGGCGGCTCAGGCGGTGACAAGCGGCGGCCGAGGCCCGGCGAGGCGGGCGGGCGCGTTAAGACTCCTTAGGACCCGCCCAGGGGGGCGGGGCGGGGGCGGGGCGGGGCGCCGGATCACCCCAGGCCGACGAGTGGCCTTCAGCCCCGCCCCGCACTTTCTGGACACTTACAAGCTGCCAGGCCTGGGGTGTCTGCCTGGGCACAGTGCTCTGTTGGAATTAACCACCGACGCTAACAATTTCAACAAAGTAACTTCACCACTGCTCCAGGTTCTAAGCGTGGCTCAGAGCTCGCCGGCTGTTTTGGGAGAGGAGAGATACTCATCGGTAATTGCACTTTCCTAAGGAAAAGGTTGAGACTTGGCAAGGCCGATTAAGGTCACAGAGCTGGTGGGTAGCTGGTCTGCCGCAACAGACTGTCTCAGCTCCAAAAGAGCCCAGGGCTTTAGGAACCTGTACAGGGCATGAGAATGATTATACACTGCCAGTAATGGTAATACTGAGAAATCACTAGAGCAGGCTGGTCTCAAACTAGTAGGGCCTACGGTGAGTTTAGTGGGTTTGCCTCTAGGTCCTAGGGACAGGAGCACCTACTACTCTTACCAGACCTGCTGGGCCTTGGAAGAATGATCCCAGAGTGGAGGTAATCGAAAGCATTGCCACCCCGGTCTCATTGGATCTCTTTCATTGAATCCATGACGCACACTCAGGTCAGTACTGTTTCGGGAGGAGGAAGCTGCATTTTACAGAGAGGAGATAAAGGCAAGCCTGTGAATGCGTGCTGGGCAGAGGCAGTGGCCACCAGTAAAGCCTCAGGCCAGGTCCTCTCTGTGTCCTCCACATAGCTCAAATTCACAGTCATGAAACAATGGGTCCTGTGCTGGTGAGCACCCCGCCCCCAAGTGCTCCCTCTCTGGCCTGTTTCCCAGGTGTCCCAATCAGACTGAGTGTGGTGCGTTATAGCTTCTGGCTTCTGCTGGCCCTGCCCATAGAGGCTGGCTCTCCTGGTTCCTGTCTGCTGAGGACTGGACCTGGGACTGGAGTGATGTGGCCTCAGAGTGTTCCACCGTCAGAGCCTTGGCAAGTGCCACCTCTATCTTCAGGCTGCTAACTGGTCAAGGAGGCAAACCTTGGAACCCTTTGGGCCTGCCAACCCTGTGGCCCTGAGGGCAGTGATTCCCAGCGTAGCTCTTCATTTCTCCACCTCTTCAATGGCACAGCGGGGACTCATCTTCATCATCATCTTCTTTTCGGTGGAAAATTATCACTATCTATTTGGGAATGGTAAAATAAGTTAGAGAGGTATATGTTTTTATTTCTGAATGTTCGTTTCTGTATATCTGAATGTCTTTTTTTAAGATTATAATATAATTACAACATTTCTCCCTTCTCTTTCCTCCCTCCAAACTCTCCCATATACCTCTCCTTGCTCTCTTTCAACACTACTTAAAGATCTACAGGCAACTAACCCTGAAAACACTCATACGAGTAACATTCTAACCAATTAGGTTATATTTAGGAATACATATTTATGTGATAACAATTAATAAAAAGGATGCTAATTTCTATGTATCCACTCTAGTGAAATGTTCCTACCTCCACTCTGGGAATCTAGGGTCTTGGCCATCATTGGCTTCTAAGATCTTGTTTCATCCTGGGGTTCCACATTTATTGGGTTCAGTTCATCCTGAATTTCAGCCATATTTCAGTTCTTTTGGTCTTCCCCAAGGCCAGCTTTGTAATCGGAATCTTGGGCTGGCTGTTGCTAGTTCCTGTTTGTTGGGGTAGATCTGCTGTCCATGGGTATGGGTCTTTATTCAGAGACATCTCAGCAAGACCTTGGATTCCACCTGGCTTCCAGCTCCCTTCTTGCTCCCCTGCTTCCCTTACACCCCAGATTCTTTGAGCCTCCTATTCACATTCCTTGTGGTTGCCAGAGAAAACTCCTGTTGCTTCCTCAGTGATCTCCCTCCACTGTTGGAATAAAATTCAGCCCATACACCCCCAGCCTCCCTCCCATTCTCTTGTTTTTGTGGCATCCAACCCTCTCTATTTTAGCACACTAGCGCCTTGCCTTGTGTCTTAGTTAGGGTGTCTATTGCTGTGGAGAGACACCATGACCACAGCAACTCTTATAAAGGAAAACATTTAATTGGAGCTGGCTTAGTCCATTATCATCATGGTGAAACATGGTGGTGTACAGACAGACATGGTGCTGGAGAAGGAGCTAAGAGTCCCACATCTTGATCTGCAGGCAACAGGAAGTGAACTGTTTTCCACACTGGGTGTAGCTTGAGCATAGGAAACCTCAAAGCCCACCCACAGTGACACACTTCCTCCAACAAGGCCACACCTACTCCAACAAAGCCACACCTCCTAATAGTGCTACTCCCTATGGGGACCTTTTGTTTTCTTCAAATCACCACACCTTGCTTTAAGAACATTAAGATCCAGGATAGAGAGATGACTCCGTTGTTAGGAGTACTGCTGTTGTTTTCAGGGGACCCAAGAATGAGAACCTACATTTATTTAGCCTGGTGTGGTCTCATGTGACTTTGAAATCGGAACACTGGGAAGGCAGACAGTTGGCTTCAGGCTGCTCACTGGCCAGCTAGTGCAGCCGGCCTACTTACAAGCTCCAGCTTAATGATACTGTCTCAAAAAATAAAATTAAATTAAAAACAGATGGACAGCACAGGATGAATGAAACCTGAAGTTGTTCTCTGGCCTGCACACATGTGCATACACACATGTGCACGTGCACTCACAGAAGCACACAGACAACAAGATGAAACTCAGTTGTGCATGCTGGTATACACCTTAATCCCAGCATTGGGAAAGCTGAGCCAAGAGGACTGGGGCCAGCCTAGGCTACATAAGGCAATTCTGTGTCAAAAACAAAAACCCACCAAACCCATTCCCACTTAGAGGAATGTCCCTGCTATACCCTGAGCCAATAAAGCCCTTCTCCTGCTTTCTCTTGGTGTTTCTCATTGCCAGGGTCTGAAGAAAGACTGCTTTCTAGCTTCATTCTCTCTCTCTCTGTCTCTCTGTCTCCATCTCCGTCTCTATCTCTCTTTCTTTCTAGATAGGGTCTTACTATATGTAGCCTCAACTGGCCTGTAACTCACTATGTAGACCAGGCTGGCCTCAAACTCACAGAGATTCACTAGCCTCTGCCTCCAGAGTGCTGGGATTAAAGGCGTGCGCCACCAAATTATGTTATGTCAGTTCCAGTAGAATAGAGGAGGAGAGCTCTAACCTCTGGCTCTACCCCTTCGGACTCCAGTGACCTCTTGTACATAGTAGGGGCCCAATAAATGGCGGTGAAATGAAAGCATCACTGTCCAGTGTCTGAGATAACACAGCCAGCCAGTGTCAGAGCTGCACCCAAAGAGAGGTGTCAGGAAGATGTCACCAGAGAGAATCTGGTCCTCCAGCTCGTGCCCTCTATTCTAGCCTGTTCACCTTCAGACACAAAGGTGCTCTGTTGGAAGGTAGGAAGTGGCACAGATGTCCTGTTGCCAGTGTCAGGTGACAGCAGAGGTCATGGCAACCCAAGAGCAGAGCCACACACTGAAGTGAGCTGTCCCTCAGCACCCACACAGGATCTCCTGCAAAGGGTAGGCCCCCTTAGGGTGCAAGTGCTCATAATCTAGTTCCCCCCTCAGCTGGCTCCAGGGACATCACGACCACTAGGATGTACTGGCAGGCGACTAGGGGTGCTGAGTGGGCAGCATGCACCCTGGTGTTGTTATTGGGATGGCTATAGGAGACATCACTTGACAGTGATGATGGATCAGAAAGGTTGATGAGATGTAGAGAATAGAGCTCCGCATTCACCCCAGCAGGAAAGGCCAGCATTGCTCAGCTAGGCTGCACAGGGCAGCTAGTTGGGGGAGAATATCACACTTGGAGCAGGCTGGAGGAAGCCTAGGTTTGAGATTGTCTGACACACATACTCTCTGTACCACTCCCACACACTTACTCTCACGTGCTCTGTCACATAGACACACTTTCTATAGCCAACTGCAACTGTGTCTCTGATGCGGTCTGCTACCTCTTCTGTTGGCCTCCTCTCCTGTTGGCCCCCTGACTTGCTCTTCCCTGAACAGTGCTTGTGGCATTACCATGGCATCTTCCTGGCCTCCTACAAAGCCTCTGTGCCTTGGCCGAGGCCCTGGGTGAAGCCAGAGTCCAGCCTTCCTGCTATCGGCCTGAACTGGAATCTCAGACATGGAGGCTCAGGCTTCCCAGCCCAGACCTGGCAGAGCTCATGCTCACTGACCCAGAACTATGCCAAGAGGTGGTCCTGAGGGATGCTTCCCCTGTACGGGCATCTGTGGTGGTACAGGGCAGGGACTGAGGCCAAAGGGAAGACCAAATCTCTAAAGTTGTTTCTTTTTAAAAACAGGGTCTCAGTATGTAGCCCAGGCTGGCCTTTAAACCCCAAACCTCCTGAGTGCTAGGGTTATAGGCACGTTTGCCTGGCTCCAAATCTCTTGAGAGAAGGAGTCTTTCTAAGGCACGTGGACTGGGGAGTAGAAAGTAAGACCCATGGGGAAATGTTGCTCCATGGTGGCTCCAGAAGATGTGACAGTCCTCTGCTTGGCATCACATCCAACTTTCTGACCTGTCTCTACAGAGCTGGGCCTAGGACATTGCATTGGTAATGAGACCCTCAGGCAATAGTGTTGGGGTCCTGGGATTCGGACAGCAAGACATAGGGTGGTAGAACTGGGTACTCCTGGACGCAGTGCTTTGCTGGGTTCAGAGGGCTGGCACCCACGCAATCTCATCACTTATGAAGTTGAGACAGAGGGACGGGGGTTCTGTGCCAGACTGGGTTACCTAGGTAAAAAAAAAAAAAAAAAAGCTGAGCTGTCCATTGCACACTTTTACCTGAATAAAGTCAAGGGACAGAAAAACAGGTAGATATCTGTCACAAACAAGGGGCTGGGTGTGGTGGACACACCTTTCATCCCAGGACCTGAGACAAGCAGGTGGATCTTTGTGTGGTGGAGGCCAGCCTGGTCTACACAGTGAGTTCAGGACAGTCAGGCTGCATAGTGAGACTCTGTGTCAAAGTCAAAATCAAATCAAATCTTTTCTTTAAAAGCATTTACAGGGATGAGGGAGGCTGGAGAGCTGACTAAGTGGGAAAAGGAGCTTGCTGCCAACACTGACGATCTGAGTTTGAGGCCTAGCACCCACACGGTGGAAGGAGAGAATTGTTTTCCTGCAAGCTCTTCTCTGACCTCTAAATCACTCACACACACACACACACACACACACACACGCACACGCGCACGCGCACACGCACACGCACACGCACACGCGCACACACACGCACACACACGCACACGCACACACACGCACACACACACACACACACGTGCACACGCATGCATGCTTCATTTTTTTAGTGTGTATGTGTGCGTGTGTGCGCGTGTGCATGTGTGTGCGTGTGCGTGTGTGTGCGTGTGTGCGTGTGCGTGTGTGTGCGTGTGTGTGTGTGTGTGTGTGTGTGTGTGTGTGTGTGTGCCATGCTCACACCCATTCATATGGACTCAGCAGAAATCAGAAAGGCTAGAAAGATTTGGAAGGGTGAGACTGAGAGAGATGTATAGTTTCTTCTTTGCCCGTTACTTTTTTTTTTTTCCTTCAGGGATTTGGTGGCAATGGCCACAACTGGCTTTTATAATCAGAAGAAAGCAAAAGAAAATTCCATCTTGAGAAAACCTAGTGCTGAGGCTGGGGGCCTTGGTAGCCATCGGTCTCCATTCCTCATGATTATGTAAAGCTGCGCCTGTGTTTCATAAGTCAGGCTGCTGCCTAGGATGTTTGGGGTTGAGAGTACAGCCTCAGGCTGTGGATGTGCCCCTGCCCTTGTTCGGTTGTCCGGATGCAGCTCAGGGTGAAGCTACCCTGATGTGCTCCGACACATCTGCCGCTCACCATCCACCATCTACTGAGTGGGCACCGATGGGGCGTGAATGGCCTCTAGCAGCTGCGTTCCTGAGTGACAGCGTTGGCATTGCTCTGGCAGCCCTGGGCCCGTGTGCACTCCTGGGGCATGCCTCAGCTGGGTGCTGGGAGCCCCAAGCCAGCACAGGCCTTGTACTGAAGCCAATCTCCATGGCTATGGCCTTGGGACACTTCCTTTGACTCCTAGCCAGGGCTCCGGGCCAGCGTGGCCCTGGGATGAGTCTTTCTGGGATAAGTGCCTAGCACTGCCCCCCACAGTGCCTCACAGAGAGCACCTGACTGAGGCTGTACACTGATTTATAAATCTACTGTCCCCCCAATACCAGAATTTCCTTCCAGAGGATTTTTGTGATCTTTCTCTTTAAAAAAAAAAAAAAGAAGAAGTTTTACTTATTTTTATTTTATGTGTATGAGTGTTTTACCTGTGGGTATGTATGCATGTGTACCATGTGTGTGCCTGGTGTCTGAGAAGACCAGAAGAAGGAATTGGATCCCCTGGAACTGGAGTTACAGATGGTTGGGAGCTACCAGGTGGGTGCTGAGAACTGAACTTGAGTCTTCTGCAAGAGCAGCGAGTGCTGTTA